AAGAGGGTCGGGCAGGCGCCGGTGCTCCCAGGTGCCCGGCGTGGACCGTGACATCGTGCCCAGCTCAGAAAGGGACTGAGTACTGATAGCATCTGGGTTCCGCTTGTCTCCGGGATATGTATTTTAAGGTGTACTTCTGTGGGCAAAAAATGGCATTCTTCTTATTCTTGCTCTATGTACTCTGCAGTATAAAAAACATATGGAGATGTTTAGGACAAAGAACTGAATGACCCATTTTGTGAAACAGCAGTTCATCCCAGACTGTCCCAAAGCGAATTTTTTTCTAACTAGAATTTATGATTACGTTAATTAGTAACTGCTACCCAACAAGAATATTTCTGAGAATTTCCTAGAGCAGCATAGGCATCGGTTCTGTGTTCCTTCAGGGTATCCAGAAATGCTGTACATGGCAGTGAGCATATGTAGACAAAACAGAAGATTAACTCATCTGAGCTTCTTTTCAATGCAGCATTTGATTTGCAATGGAAAAACCTTTCTGGTGGTCCCCTCTGGATTTCTAGCTTTGTACTTCAGTATATACAATGCTTCACTTCATCTGGCATAACTTCTAGTGATGTCATAATTATAAAGAACAAATAATAAAAATACCCTAGCTTACAAAAGCAAATCTTCACAAAACAAAATATCACTAATCTGCTCCCTTTTCCCTTTGGCTTTAAACCTTCCTCCCGCAATTTCTTTTGGTCTTCTTTTTATCACTTTTTGCTGTTACAATGAGATGCAGTAGCACAGTGAGTGCTCAGGATGTTTTAGTACACATGCGGATGTCAAATGGCTCTAGAGTCATGTTGAAGGCTGCCCAGTTATCTCAGATGGAAAGGGATTGATTACTCAAGCTGGAGAATCAAAGCGAAACCGTTGTGTTAGCCTCTTTGCTTGCTTGCATGCAAATAGCTACAGAAATTGGTGTGCCTTAATCATTCAAGCTCAAAGGGGCAGCTGGATTCCAATGGATCTTTGACTCTTTGATTTTACTTTAAGGCGCTCATCTAGATAAAGTAGTAAAGCAGGAAAACTGCATGTTAGAAGAATGACACTAAGAGGCTCCTCAGTCTCTTATCTTTCATTCCTTTTCTACCTGCTGAGAAAGGAAAAGTAATGCTGATAGCTCTTGCCTACCACAAAGTAGGTAGAAGATTACAAGTCAGCTTACATACCTTTATTTCTGTCCATGGCCATGTAGGAAATCTCACAACTGAGCCCAGAATGAAAGCCATCCTTGCCCTGAAGAATTTACAGTCTAATGAGACAGCAGAAGCATGGGAAGCTGAATAATGGCACTTTTGACACATAATAGGCCATTCTCGCTTAGGTAACCGTATCTGATAAGATAAGCTCTGCGACTGAGGCTCATTAGATCAGGCCTATTATTTATAGTGGACTTTTTGTTTTTTTCCGTCAAAGACCTTTAAGCTCCACTGAAGTTATTGGTTGGCTATATGACAGTAGAGATGCCACTGCATAGTTAGATGCCCCTGCATACCCTATCTGCTATCATCATGCCTTCTTATGGCTTTTCATCACCTCTTTTCTGGTACTAAGCCTCCTCTTCTAGTCAAAGTGACAATCTGATTTTCTGTGAGGGGAAAGCAACCCACCCGCCTTGCCATCCCCTTGCTCTGTGTTTAATAAAAGCTGCAGGGCAGACAAGAGTGT